TTTCAGTGTTACTCCACAAACACTTCCACTATTATCAACTTAATTATTTTACCCTTCAGGCTCAAAAAGAACACAACAAGAAGCACACCTTTCCATCACCAAGATAGCTCTCTCACTACCCAGATGCAAATCTCAAGAAACAGAAAGTTCATCACTCCTCCCAGTTTCAGTATGGGAAGGATTGGAGGCTAGGTAGCCTATATCGGTTCTGGCAATGGTGGTCTCTCAGTTCATCCAACTTACTTTTGAAAGCGTCGACAGATGCAGCTTCAATCACGTGTTGAAGCGGTGAATTCCATTTGTTGACGATTCGATGAGAAGGTGGATCGTCAGCTAACAGGTGATTTATTCTTGGCTTGTGAACATTTTTGGAGTGTCCTCGTAAATTTTCTGTTTTGGAAGACAAATGAGGGCATATCAGATGTAAATTTACCACCAAGTAGTATAAAATCTGTGATCAAGTCGCATCTGATTCTTCGACAGAACAATGGAAATTAGTTTAGTTTGGCTAGTCGAGCATCATACGGGAGCTTCTATATTCGACGAATCGGCTTAGTTGTTGTTCTTTGAACCTTATCCACCGGTTCACTGTCTCTCTTTAGGCAAGGACTAGGCGCTTGTATACAATAATCGAGTTTAGGACGCATAAATACTGTATACAAGGTTAAAAAGGCTTTTGTATCGACATGGTGAAGGGCCTTACGTATTGACTATGCGGTCCCGGAACCTTTGGCGTCTATCGCACAGCAGTGTACAGTAGTTTATAAGTCTTGGCTAACGGCGACACATAAGTAATTGTGTCTTGACAACGGGTAGCTCACTGTTATTTACCGTGTATCTGTAACTTGTTAACCAATATGCATTACAATGCACCTCGAAGCATCTATCGGGAACTGTCAAATTCTAGACCATTCGGACAATTTCTCCAGTTCGTTTCGAAGCTCCAATCTATAATCCCTATTTCTCATCGCTCTATATTTTGGCATCGTCAGCACATAACAAAGCCGATGTTGATAGGAAGTTAAGAAGGTCATTTACACACAAGAGTAGAGGTGCTACAAATATTCGGAGTTTGACAACGCCCTAACCAGTAATACCTTTTACAATCGAAATGTGCCAACCCAGTTAAATCAGAAATCAGAAGCAAAGAGGCTCGAATATATGTTTGACAGAATATCGATATACTGAGAAGTGACTAATCTAAGCTGACAAGAGATTGTAGGAGAAGTGTACTCACCCGTGACCTGGTGCGGATGCATGGGCGAGTGCTTTCGTCTAGGTAAGTCTATTAAAACTAATCCAGTCCGCATCAAATATAGAAGACTTACGGAGCTATTGATTTTAGGGATTTATTTACCGCTACAAGTGTGATTTTACATACTGTCCAGTTAAACATACAACCAGAATGAGTACTTGTAGTGAAAGGTTATCTTATCAATATTATAAAGACAGTATTGCCACAAAACTGTACCCTTAGGCATTCCGCTAGGCACGGTTTCCCAGCTACACAGCTTTGAGTTCATCCGTATTCATTTTTAGCACCCAACTAGGAAGCCATTTATCCAAATCATTAAATTGCTTCAAACCACGATCCACATTATGGGCTAAGTGTTCCCTACATTAACAGCAATCGTATCTAAATAAGTTGTTTAGACTAACGCGAACACCGTTTAGGAATGTGGTGTGTAACTAAGACGGCGATAATAAATAAACTGACAAAGGCAGGCGCTTGAAGTTTTTTACATTCGTAATGGTAACCTATCATAAAGAACCAGAGCACCTAAATATAATAAAAACAACCGATATTCAGATGCTTTCCATACAAAAATTTCGTGTAATGAACGATATTTCCTTTGAAATTCATAAGTAGTGTGATTTCTACATAAGTCCAGTACTACACTGATGGGTGCGAAAATACAGTGATCCATCCTACTAAGTCGCTTAACAGCTAGATCCTTTCACAAGGAAATCAGTTTTTTCGTGATACCTAAGTATATCATGTGCACTGGTTCTCATCGGAAAGATTTTAACATATCTAGTGGTAGATTTTCGAATAAACTTCTACCACGATGAAGGATGGATTAGAACCTACTACGAAAAGTGACATCGGTTCTAAAGTCGTGTTTATCATTGAGAAAGTCCTCCCAGTAGTCTCCCTAGAACATGACACTTGTCACAGACAGCGGTACAGTTGTGTCCAGCAACATACTTGACGTAGCAACAGGCTGGAGTGTCACAAATAACAGCAACCAATTTAACTGTCAAATGTACCTTACACTTATCTACGTAAATCCCTAAAGTCATCAATTCTTGTAACTCAGTTACAAGTGCTGCGGACATTTCGTTGAAATCAGATGGTTTTACTTCACCACCATAGATCCCAACTATGAATACTTCACTAACTAATGGAGCCAATAGGCGACCTAGGATTGGCCAAAAATGTTGGTTACAGCTTTGAAATAAGGACAAGCTGTTGGAGTTTCACTTCGCTGAAAGTGATTTGGTGTGGCCCATTTTCTGAAATCCTCTGCAAATCTGCTTTTAGTCCAATGTGGTAGTATACTTCTGTCTCCAGAAACGTTGGTTCCACACTATAACAACGACTTGGTACACTTCTGACGGATGTGGGGAGTTCCTGAATGTACCCCCGAAAAACATCAGGAATTCCGTCAGCCTTCTTCATCGTTATCACCTGTCATCATCTCATCTACAAATTTATCTAGCTGTTGTTTCATTGATAGGTGAATCGACGGGGACATTTCTGAAATTGCACGATCTATAACTTGTTCATAAAAAAAAGCTGGATTATACCGTCGGCTGTATTGGCTGTACACTGGACGTAACTACGTGAAGCATTGGCTGGTTGTGGGACGATATTGTTACACTGCTCTGTAGCTACGGTGATCCCTGCTTCTCAGACAACAACTGAACGGTTGTTCTCGTAGTTAGTGGTCGTCAAAGATACTTTTCATCAAACTCAGCTTTTGAATTCCTCAACCTTCTGTAAAAGGTTGATTTGGGACAGACTATCGACTTTAAATCTCTGTTGGCCTTAGCCCGTCTTTTGGGAATTTTCTTAGGCTCTAAATTATTATAAAGAGAGTAAGAACAAAGGTTGGTGCAGGATAATATGAATTCATTTTATTTCGTTAGGTTCTCATCAGCTGCTTACAACCTAAAATATTTGAAATTCAACTGGAAGAAACAATTACCTGGAGTCAGACTAAACGAAAGCACTAATCGAAATTGTGGACAGTACAAATAACCCTACTGCATGGCGTAAGAATTTTGAAAAAGTGGTTTAAAGCGGATGACTCCTTGTCTCGCGTCTGTTTGATGTACTAAAACAAAACCTCAATATCCATAAAGTATTTGTGACCAAAGTTCATGATATTATTAAAAATAATGTCTTTTGATTGTAACTTTATCTTCAAAAGTTTTAAAATGCATTGGTGATGAAATGTCTGTCCGGAGAACTGTGCAACATAGATTTCGAGGTCCCCCCCCAAAAAAAGTTGGGAGATTGGGCCGGTACGACATATGGTGTACGTATACTGATAAAAAAGAATATCACGAAACTGTCTCATTTGGTAGATGATCCATCTGTTGCAATATCATTAAATATTTGCCCTACATTTTACGCGATTAGGGTGAAGATGCCACAGGTATTCAGATTTTGACAACGCTTTATGAAGCGTACCCACCAAGTGAAATCAAAAGACAGAAGCGAGGAGGTTCGAAGATATATTTGATAGGCTATCAATATATCGAGAATCGTCTGATCTAATCTGGCTAGCGATTGCAGTAGATGTTGAGCACGGCGTTCCCACTCATGATCTGATACGGATGCATGACCGGGCGCCTTCAGCTAGGTGAGTCCATTAAAACTTGTGGTCAGCATCCAATGTCGAAAACTTACAGAGCTACTTATTTTGGGGATTAATTTACCGCTACAGGGGTAACATCACTTTCGTTATTTGAAGGTGAATGTGGACCAACCACCCAAAGTCCTGATTTCACCGCTCATGACCAAAATTACAAGTTATCGAGGTAACGCACCAATGGTATCAACCTACGGGTATTGACCTGCATGTGCTCAGTAATCTCCATAATGGACGATGCTGCGAGCTCGTTGTCAAATAGAATTGAGAGTTGGAATTAGTTCTTGACTGTGAATTGACATCAGTTCAAGAATTAATCTTAAGTTCAAGCATTCCATATTGCTAATCAACCTCTCCTTACATATGATCCCATAAAATGATAAGAAATGAACTGGTACCCTAGGTGATGAAATTCTTCAAATATCGTTAAAGGACTTGGGAAATTTCCTCGTTAATTCTATACTCAATCGTCGTATGTGTGTGCACAATCATGGCTGTACACTTGTTAACTTAATTAACTTCTAACTCCTTAGCCTTTATATCCCCTTTATTGGTTGTTTGGGTATTGATTATATTGAAAGATGTTGACATTTGGGATTACTCGTTGACGCTTAGATTTGGGCACGCTTGATCATTCCCGATTTGTAACGGATATATTCTCGAATCACTTGGATTCCGTTACAAAAGCAAATGACTACATTATATATATATATATATATATATATATATATATATATATATATATATATATATATATATAATCATTTGGAGTCATTCAAGAGACACTAGAATTATGTAGATAAGCAGAAAGTTATGCATACACTAATGCTATCAATAATTCTACCATCGTAATGTAATGGTGTCATTTATTCACTCGAACCTTCGATTCAGCGTTGATATAAAGTAACCTGAAGTAACATAACGCACATTATGTAAAGCTTCCGTGCTATGTGGCCATCATACTTTTCATGTCATACAGTGTTGATTTCATAGTTTAATCATTAACTTGATAATTCTTCCTAGTTAGCTGTTCTTGTTCCGCGCTTATCTATTACTATTTTTTAATTTGTCGTTACATTCCTACTGTAGGTACGTTTCGTCGAGCAATTTTGCTAATTAATGATGCATACAAGTTGTGTTAACGAGGTAGATTTTATTTTCATATAACGACGTTATAGCCTATTATCTGTCAAGCTGCTGTTGCTTGGGAACCAAGTAAACCGCTAGTGATTGAAGAGGTTGAAGTTGCTCCTCCATCAAGTGGGGAAGTGAGGATCAAGATTCATTCATCTGGAGTTTGTCATACAGATGCATATACTTTGAGTGGTCATGATCCTGAGGGAGTTTTTCCTGTCATTCTTGGACATGAAGGTGCAGGTGTTGTAGAAAGCGTTGGGGAGGGTGTATCGTCTGTTGTTCCAGGAGACCACGTCATTCCACTATACATTCCACAATGTAATCAATGCAAATTTTGTCTATCTAAGAAAACGAATTTATGCTCAAAGATAAGGTAAACATTTCAGTTAATTCAATGCTTTGCAGGGAAACGCAAGGAAAAGGCCTCATGCCTGATGGATCTGTTCGTTTCAAATGTCGTGGTAGACAAGTGCATCACTTCATGGGCTGTAGCACTTTTAGTGAATACACAGTGCTACCTGAAATTAGCTTAGCAAAAATTGATAAAAATGCCCCACTGAATAAAGTTGGCCTTTTGGGTTGTGGCATAAGCACGGGTTATGGAGCTGTCTTTAATACTGCTAGTAACAATGTTTTTGCAACTCGGTTTATGATAATATTCAGAAGTTGAGAAAGAGAGCATATGTGCTGTTTGGGGTCTTGGAGCCGTTGGATTAGCAGTCATAATGGGATGCAGAATAGCTGGTGCTAGAAGAATTATTGGAATAGATATTAATGAAAACAAGTTTGGTTTAGCTCTGTCTTTTGGAGCTACAGAATGCATAAATCCTGCGAAGCATTCTAAGCCGATACAACAGGTTCGTTAAGTTTCTTTATGCGCGCAACCACATATGTCTTCTGAGCAGTAGTGAGATATATTCTGTTTTGTTCCTGTCCAGTATTTTTCATTAGACATGAAAAGCTATTTTGACCACCAACTGCATCTATGTTCTGCTTCAAAATTTTCCTGTATAAGTTATTACAAATCACTTCATATGCACCAAACAAACTCTACAATAAATAATTATTAAGTATTATTTTACCTACTTCTCATCGTATCACCCATACGAGTAGAAAGATACGATTGCTTCATAGCACTTGTTTTGTTAGTGCCCATTCTCAGTAATCAAAACTGAGTTTTACAGTTCACTTATCTCCATTGTGGAATTTATTCTACAATATAATTTGTTTATGTTAATTCATAAACATCCCGAAACAGAAGTCCCTTCTATACTACAAGTGACGTATTTAGGCTAAAGCCATCCGAGGTTTGGTTAGGCATCAACCCGCTAGGAGTGAGGAAATTTCTAAGTTAAGTAAAGCAGTCGGCTCAGTCAACTACCTTACTACTTGTGGTTAGTCTAGGTGACGCCGAATACAAGTTCTAAAGTGACGTCCATTTAGAAGTAGAGGAATGCATTGCAAACATTTTTGTGTTATAAGTCAATGCGATAAAGAAACTTTCGTGTCACTGTCTCCACTAAGTAGAGCTTCGTCATGTGCGTACCGCAGTTTGATAAGTCAATCACCTGGTAACCAAGAAATCTCATTAATTTGGTGAAGAGAGTTTCTTAGTAAGGGATCTTTAAAGAACAGGGGGATAGCGAGCAGTTCTGACGGTCACTGTTCACGGTTAGTAGTGGTACCGTCAGGTCAAAAATAACACATATAGTTCATTAGTAATTGTTTGTTCTAAAACCTGGGAGATGGTGACTAGTCTTACGATACGTCCGCGATTGGTTTGAAGCCAACCTGGTTTCGCTGTTAATGAGCTCCAGGTAAAGTCGAATGATTTTCGAAAGTAATATTTGTGATATATTAGTCAAATTTATTCATCTGTGGTTACGATGGTGCAATGGTCCTTGTATAATGGGACGATCAATTATCGGAACCATCCTGGTGAGGTCACGTCGAGTTTCCGAACTTTAGCTAGTGTCTCAATCAACTTAGTTGCTAAAACTACCACTATCCTTAAAGACCTCTGGCGTCAACCTGCTAGGTTCTGTTGCACCCCTCTGCATGTTAGATATGACTTCAACCTCGCTAGGACTTGGACGACCTGTGTCGATTTCTCATTCACATTGTTGGGCATTATTGGACAACTGGACAGTTTCTGATGACATCAAGTATTGTATCACTAAGTAATACCATTAGTAGATTTCTTTTGTTAATCATCATAATCGGTGAGATTTCTTAGACCAACAATATCTCTTAAACTGCGAAATTAGAAAGATAAATTCCTAGGTTTGAAAATTCAGTTTGTTGGAAAACAATTTCAGTTTGTTATTGAGATTGCTTGTTTGAAATTTAATTGAATGCTTATTTTCACTTATTCCCCGTCGTCATTTTTATATCACAGGTTATTGTTGAAATAACTGATGGAGGTTGTGATTATTCTTTTGAATGTGTCGGGAATGTGGGTACTATGCGTCAAGCTTTAGAATCGTGTCACAAGGGCTGGGGTGTTTCAGTTATAATTGGTGTAGCGGAGGCTGGGGCAGAAATCTCAACTCGACCATTCCAACTTGTAACTGGTCGTACATGGAAGGGTTGTGCTTTTGGAGGTTAGTTGTAATGATCATCATTTTGTGACATTTACGACAACCATATGTAACCTTTAAAATTATCTGGGAAAAATGATGCAATGTGAGATTCACAGATAGTCTGATTAAAATGAACTTTCGTGTATTTTAAAGACCCATCTATATAATTTTAATAAAGTGCACCAAATATGCTCCCAATGTTTTGTATTCGAAAATTAAGTTTCATGATCACTCATCCAGTCATGTTGTGGCATGTAGATTAGATCTCGTTATTATCACTTAATGTTCTACCCACTCCAATGGCTCCAAATGCTTTAGTACGGTCGATGGTGGGGAGTCAGTTCACCCCCTCAAAATGCTCTCTTATGGCTACGCGTATACAGCCACTGTCAGAAAAATGGTGCAATGTGAGGTTCACAGATAGTCTCAGTGAAATGAACTTTCGTGTTGAGATTTTCTTACGTTGTATTCTGATTTAAGGCATTTATGAAGGGTGGATTATTTCTATCACTTAACATAAACATTTTTCGTAAACTAAATTATTATCAATTACTTAGGTTCAGTCGTTTGAGCGTTCGAGATCCGGCCATATTTCCACGAGTTTCAATCCGCCCCACCTTATTTCTCTTTCATAAATCAGGCTAATAAAAATTGACAAGGATTGACCGTAATGGTAACTCTTGTTTCATTGGAAATTGGGTGACCGACAAAACCGACTTCTCCCAATCGCTTATGAGGTGTTTGTTTCTTGTGTTAATATTTTGTATGTAAGCATATTATTTTATTTGGTAAAAACCTATTCTGGTTAGTTGTCTTGTTGTTGTTCCGTAGTTCATCTTGGCGTTCGAGTTACTCGTCTAGTTTTTTTCAGTCAGTCAACTGCAACGTAGAGCCAGGCACATGTATGCATCGGCCCAAGCTGCCATACCTCATTAGCACAACAAGATGAACATCAAATTCATAGAACTAGTTACTTCAATGATAGTAATATAAAAAAGAAAGGTTGTGTATGAGGATATATTACAGGAAGAAAAAATTTGTTCGTAGAAAGAAAGATATAAAGCAATTTTAATCTCATGGTTTAAGGGAAGACAAAGAGTGTATACACCTACACCATTGTAATCGATTCTGAGCCATGTCACCCAGAGTCCCCAACCAATGGTTACGACAGTCACGCGGACTCCAACCAAGTAATCTGCATCTACCAACATGGCTTAGACCAGAAGTTAGTGACTTCAATGACTGATGCCATGTTTTGGTTTGGCCACCCCTAACTTTCTTCCAACCCTCCCCGACACTAGTCAGCATTGCATTTTATGGTAATCGGTGTTCAGGCATACGTAACACGTGGCTCAGCCATCTTGGTCGATGAAGATTTACAACCTTATCAACTGATTTACCATCATTCCCTAATACCCTGCTTCTAACCTCATTACTACTTACCCGGTGATCCCAGCAATATTTCTAAGGCATCTGTGGTCAAATACTAGTAGCTTACGAGTATCTTCTACTCTTAATGGACACGTATCGCAGGCGTAAAGTAGAACAGAACGGACTGCCGCTCAGTATACTCGTCCTTTTATTGATAGACGGATATCTCGTCTTCGCCATAGGTGACATAAGTTGGCAAAAGCCAAACGAGCTTTTCGAATCCGTGCTGAGATTTCGTCAGACACCGACCCATCAGGACTGATCAGACTTTTAAGAAAAGTGACGTTGTCGACTTGTTGACGCAGACCAGTCCTGAAGAAACAACTTGCATTTAGAGGGCGAGAAACGCATCCCAGACATGCTGGCATTGTTGCTCAGTGCTACCAAAATATGGCATTTTATCAACGTCTTCATCGAACAAGACTGTCACCTGCGTATTCTAGGTCGATGGGTGGACCTCGTATTAGGAGACTAATCCCCAAAAATTCAGTCGACGAGAAAGTTATTTCCGTCAGGAAGTCTATGGTGGGATTGAACAAAAATCGAGATAATGGACAGCCTTGCCGGATACCACTTGAAGGTGCAAAATCAGATGACAGTTCGCCATAATCTCTGACTAGACTGGTGGTGTTTGAGTGAAGAGCTCCCACTAGGTTTATGTACTCCTGAGGTACACCTTCAATGACAGACACTGCCACAGAACCTCCCGGTCTACAGAGTCAAATGCTGCTTTTTAGTCAAGAAAAAACTATCATTGTCGGACGCCGATAAGCATTTCTGTGTTCTAAAACCTGACGAATGGTGAATATGTGGTCGATGCAGCCACGACCAGGTCTGAAACCAGCCTGATTTTCTCTTGTTTGCAGTTCACGATTCTTTGTCTGGCTCACAATAATTATTGAGGCTAGTATTCTAGATGATGTATTAGTTTAACTAATCCCTCTATGGTTATGGTAGAATGATTCTGACTTCTTATATATTGGGACAATCAGTGATTGATACCAGTCAGATGGAATTACATCCAACTCCCAGATTTAGGTAAAATATTAGTCAACCAAATCGCTACCATCCTTAAAGACCTCTGGAGCCAATCCGTCTGGACTAACTGCTCTTCCTCATTTCAGGTTAGCTATAGCTTTTTGAACTTCAATTAGAGTCGAGGGACCTACTTCAATGTTCCATTCAGGCTGTTTAGAAATGGTGGGTAGTTGTAGAGTAGCTGAAGGCCGGCTAAACTGCTCCTTAGTGTTCTTCCCATTGTTCTAAACGTCTGGGCTGAGAGCAGTTGTATCGTCTGTTTCAGAGGTCGTCTCACACTTTTCTTCTTAATTCCAGTTTCTTTTATTAGTCTGAAAAGCTGTCTGGTGTAACCTACAGTCGCTGCCTTTTTCATCTCTTTTGCTTTCGTTGCCCTCTACTGCTCACGGTCGTTCCTTAGACTTTTGGTTAATCTAGATCTGACTTGTTTTTGCTCGTCATCGTGTTCAGAGCCTGATGGGGTAAGTTTACGAGAGTCTGTCAGTGCAATAGTTGTAGCAGGAATCCACTGGTTTTTCGTAACTTTAAATCAATAACAGATGTCGCTGCTGTTTGTGTATCTTTCGAATCAACTTTTGAGTCAGCCTCGTTTTCATAACTGCCTAATTATGACCGCAGTTGTTCCAAAATGAGCGAGTCTCTTCAACGATGACTGATGGCAATATGATCTTTTTGAGTCCATCGTTGGTTTGGTGTAAGGGGTCGCCATGTTAGACGATGTCTCCTTATGCTTAAAATTTGTGTTTGCTAAAAATAAACGATTGTCTGACTATACTTTCAGCAAACGATCACCATTACCTGTTCGCTGAGCCGGTATACTAAAATACCCACCTAAATGTCTTTCTGTTTGATTTAAGCTACTTACCTGGGCATTAAAGTCACTTGCTACGAATACTATATCTGAGCGTTTAGCTGTATGAAGAAGTTCAGAGAGCTTGCCGTAAAAGTCATCTTTCACTTCATCCGGGCTGCAGTCAGTGGGAGCGTAGACAGAAACGACGAAAAGACAACTATCTGTCCCTATCCTTCCGAGTTCTTACGGAGCCATGTGGGGATCCATTCTAAAAGTGCTTGTTCAGTCATCTTAGTGCTATGCCTACACCCGTCAGTCCACGAGAAATTGCTATCAGGTCACTACACGGTGGGTATATCTCATCGGCTCTCCATTTTTGCGAGGTGAGGTCAAGTGAATGACGGCACTAGGATCTTGTATGCGTGTCTCCGAGACACAGTATACATCAATCGTACAAGATTCTAGTGTTTTAGTAAGGAGTTCTGCTGACCGATTTGACGTACGGTACAGACGTTGACGGCTGCAATGTGTAGTTTGGAGCAAAATTTCAGTAGATCTGAGACAGGATTTCGCGTACTAGAATCGTTGGTCATGGTGACACTTCAGTAGGAAGCGAAAAGAGGGAGTTTAGGGTTGAAAGTCGAGGTGGGAGGAATACTCGGGATTGAAGAGGGAGGTTGATTATGAATACAGTGGTCTTGACTGTTGTTAAGGGTATGAGGGCGGTTATCACTTCCCGGTTGCCCACATCATGGAAAGGTTCTTCTGGAGGTTCCTGAAAGGGAAATTGGATTAAAGATGGTTTTACTGACCTAGGAGCGTGACCGCAGTAACCAACGGACAAATGTTGAGACCAGTCACACACATGTCAGCTCCATACTTGTTGGGACCTTACCGCCAGAGACGGAAATTCGCGGGATAAAGCGAGGTGTGTATTCCTAGGGTGGACCTTTTCTAAACCCACCCTTTATGGGAAGGCAGCATCGCTTTTATGCTGGTTGTCTGAAGGAGACACCTTACTGCCATCACACCTCTGTACAGTACTACTTCTCTATCGGATATTGGGTTTGCTGCTTTTAATCTTACCGTTCTTCATCCGACCTGTCTGGCATGGTAGGACCTTGAGTAACGATTGTTCCAGCCAGTATAGCTCAATTGGTTCATCATGATTGGCTAGCTTGACCACGTCAAGGTAGCAGCAACGGTCGGGGTCTGTTTATTTGGGGAGTCATCGCTTATCCACATCTCATTGCATTTCATCTATCGTTCGGGGTCTTATTCATTCATTTTATTAGTCCAAATCTCGTTTGTTTATCAATAATCCTAATCTGTAACGCAAATAATTTACGTAGGCCTTGCTCTTACATAACTTGATTCCTCTTTCTAAATCTATTCATCCATTTAGTCCTAAAAAATGGAAATATGTCATTCCAACAATAACCGATATTAAGACAGTGCAAGATAAGTTATTAGTTCGTAGTCTAATGTTACTTCGCTTATCGTTTTAAGAAAACTAATGTTATCATAATGGATCTAATCTCGGTGTTAGAATGAATTTATTCAAACACTTCTAGAAGATTAAATCAGTGAACCTTTTGTTGTCGAAAATGCTTTATTTCATGATTAAATTTTAGTGTGATAGGAATACCTAAAAACTAAGTAGGACCTCTGTTATTAAACCATCACCATCTTCGCTTTCCTCATAGGTAAGCCTTACTAATCGGCCACTAAATAGCAACCGGTTTTTTCTATTTAGTTCTTAGTTTGATTAAAGCCTACGGGTTTTGTGTTGCGTGTCAATTTTACCCAAATTACGTTAATGTTAGCTTTCCCTGAGGATTGTCATTACCCTAAGGCCCATAATTATCTTGTTGACAAGTGATTACAGACACCTAGGTCTGACGTTTCCTACAAACAATGTGGTCAGTAGGACTCACTCAACACTATATGTCATTGATCTACTAAAGCTTAGGTGCTCTACGAAAGTTAGGATCTTATGAGCTCTAAAACTTAAAAGCGAATATGTAGAAAGGCCTTTTTATAGATGTCAGTCTTTATATGAATATGATTGTATGAATCCTACTTTTCAGCAAGCGAAATCGATGTTGGAAAATTTTATCCCGAAATTATTATGACTTCTAACCGGACACTGAGATCACCAATTAAAAACCAATACTAAATGGTATAGACTAACGTTATTTTTAATTTGCAAAAGACGCACGGCATCAATAGTTATAAATAACGCATTTGATAATCACTGAATCAAGCCTATTCACTCTAAAAATCTTTTTATAAAGAATACTATCCATTGTTGCGGTAACTGGGCAATAAAGTATGATCACTGTTTTGTGAAATCTTACAAAGTGCCTCTTTTTTGTTATCAAACCGACTTAATGTGATTTTCATAGGACTGACTAACATACAATGACTGAACAGTTTTTTGGTGTCCATTTTATATTAAGTTCGCGTCTAAATGCGTAAACACCTGAATATTGCTTAATGTTCACTAGCAATTGTTGAAAACCTGAAGAAATTTAGGGGGAGTATAGCGATGCGATTAGCTTACCGAATGTATTTGTCTTCTTATTGTCAAAAAGTAGGTCGCATTAAGTTTCTTCGTGAAATATCAATTAAGCTGTTAGTAAGAAGTGATAATTGTTAAATATCTTTGTTGTTACCATTCTCACTCAGCTGTATGCGACGTATTCCAGGTGCCTACTCTTACAGCTTTCTTCTAACTAACCAAGGAAGTCAGTCGCAACATAGAACCTGGTTCGTATGCACAACCGTCCAAGTTGCCATACCCCATTTGTACAAAGAGATTATTGTTAATGGAAATCCAAAAGTTTTAGAGGTAGTGATATTATTAATGGTAAGTCGAAATGGTCAAGTATCAAACACACAATTCAAGAACACTTAAATTAGTAAAATGAAGAAAAATTGTGTGGAATTTGTGGGATGACAAAGAACGGATGCATCTGCCCTATGGCAAAGTGTTACGAGCTTTGTCACTCAGTCTCTAATCATTAGTTACAATAATCACTCAGACCTCAACCAGGTAGTCTGCATCTGTTAACTTGACAACGATTTTGCAGTTTAAGTAAACTATAATTCTTATTCAGTTGATTATTTATTATGATGGTCAATTCTAAATATAATAAAACTATTTGCGTTTGCAAATATATATATATATATATATATATATATATATATATATATATATATATTCAATTGTTAATGCACACATTCATTTGGCTTATCAACATTCATATTAGGTTGGAAGTCTCGTGACTCAGTGCCCAAACTAGTTGAAGACTATTTATCAGGGACGATCAAGGTTGATCAATTTATCACTCATCATTTTCAGTTAAAAGATATCAATAAAGCTTTTGATTTGATGCATGATGGTATTTGGTAAGTATAAAAGCTATGCTTCCTGTTGTCTATTGCTCTAATGCATGTATGTCCTATTTTCCGAGACCTCATCATTTAGTGTCAGCCCAAAACGGTACTGTTGATTTAGAGAGATTGACTTTTTCGTTATTAAATTAAATACACAAATCACGTGCTGATCATAACCAAATTTACTGCTTTGTTAATCTTATTCAGCAAATTATCGGTCATCCTTTGAGTTTTTTTAGCGAATAACTAAAGACAAGCTTTTACTCTGCTCATTCGTTGAAAGTAGTTTTTCTGAAAAAGTAGATACAATTAGATCAGTAAGCCTTATTGATGTACAGTTGTTTTGTGTTCCATTCAACCATTTTGGGATTTAAATGATAGTAACTCCTTGACGTATTCAATCCTGTGACTTATAGACAATTTCTTTTTTACTATCTCTGACGGTGTTATCTACCGTAGAGCATCTTACAGTTCGAAATTCGTAAGCCTCATTGCATGTGCTACTTTCTTTAATAGTACCATATTTAAGATTAATCACAACTTTTTCATTTGAGATCTCTCGCTTAAGGTCATTGTTTGTTCAGAATCCTCAAAAGGGTTTCTACAACTATAGCGTTTTGCCACAATATCCGAACCCTGACGACTACATTTGTAACTGAGTAAAATTAGTTGTGCATTTCACCATCTACATTTGTCTTTACAGGAATTAAATATACCAAATATTTCAACCAAAACATTTTTTTTCATTTGTCAAAATGAGTTGTGGTATTGTAACCCCGGAAATATTAACTGAAATCAGATCAAAATTCAGAATAAAATGAATATTGTTCCAGATATAATAAGAATGATTTTCTGATATAACTTATTAATCACATTGAGCTTCTTATTTTTACTATACTTGTCCCACTGTTTTAAATTTGTTTTCAGCATCAGACCAATGATTCACCTCTTCGCTCCGTAAAATTATGGCGTCGCCTGTGATATCTATAGTTGCCATTGTTTTCCTAAGCGTTATGGCGTTTTCTGTGCATTAAACTCGTACATTAATCGGTAAATCTTTTATTGGATTTCCAATATTTGGCGTATCCATGAACAGATTTTATTTATAGAGCACATCGAGGTGATATTGTGAAAAGCATAATAGTGAACTAATTAAAGGAGGTGGTAGTTAATTAGAAGTAGTTTAATAAAAAATATAGCCACGGAAAATTTCCCTCACTTTGCAGGCCATATCTTATGGAGAACGTTATAAACAACTGCTGCAAGATCGCGATAACTTTCTGTTTTGAGCTATACCTAATTATGTCCTGAGGCATTGAGTTGTATAATCTCTAGTATTGCGTGTGGAGTTTGGCAATGAGCAGACAGATACTCTGTCAAGCATTCTAGGCCATTTTAGATTACCGGTTAAAGCACCACCAAATTACCTCATATATTTGTTGTAACGGGTGTGACTGCAGGGTTTGATACGCAGCGTTTATTTATCAATTCAATGGACAGTGACACGTAAGGACGACCTAGTGCCCTGATTGGTCTCGCTTCCCTGTCTAGCCCCAGCCAGTTGAGTCAAGAACGCAAGTCACAGCCTCTGGGTTATGAATCATTATATTTCAAACATACTTTGTTTATATACTAGTCAAGCAGACCACAACGTACCACAAAGTAGAAAATAACATTGTACAATATTGGCCAACAGGAAAATAACACGTTAAATAAATATCCACCAATGGGAAATGTACATTTAAGGTCCAAGGACACCATTGGACTTAACATGATAATTATTGGTCTATTTTTCCGACTACCTAACAATATTGTTTTCCCAACACCAGGCTTCTTCCTGCCAGTGGTTCGGATATGTTGAAACGGCTTGCGGCAACGATGTGCTAACTTGCTCTGATAACAAGCTTACATAGGACTGCATCTTCACACACTAGTTTGCTGATCAGTTTGAGGTCAGATGTTCGGGAGATAGTCTTGATTTCAAGTTCCGAATAGCATAAAAATCCTAACACTGAAACAATGTCTTTGATTTACTCACCTTACATGCTTCTGCTCACAATTTATAGGAATTATGTTTACCTCGTTTACTATTTTATCTCAAAATTCGTAAGTCTCTGAGCGATCGATTTTCGAATGATACCGTGGAAGGCTAAATGTGATACTTGAGATTTCCAAACTTACTTCGTGCTTTCACGTGCATTAGATGAGTTTGCATTTCTTAAAATGTCCAGTCACCGATGTTTGTTGTTCATGAAAAATTGTCCATCTATCGGTCAAAATTGTTTGTCCCAAGTGCTCTTATTTTAGAACGTCGTAGCATCAGCTTTTAAACTCCCTAGCGCTGGTTTCGTCCTGAAACATTGCTTATATCCTGTTAGGTTGTAAGGTCATGTCAAAGTCAAAAGCAACTAGCGTAGGGGATACATCGTAATCTTCGCTTAAATGGTTATGGATCGCAGCTTGGGTGTAATCAAGTATGATTTGTACTACCAATTAAATAATCTGCGTTAGATAGATGTCGTACTGCCAGTTGGAGTACCCGGAGCACAGGCGTCTAGGTATAGCAGTCATTCGGATAGCTCCAGGTCGAATAGCGAGTCTTGCTGGAACTTTGTGGTATCATAATTTTTCCCTGATCAGCATAAACTTCCCGCGCAATCTTCTCCGATATTCTACCTGAAGTCCTTTCTCTGAAACGTATGCAATGACTTAAATTGATCATATTATAATCAGCTATCAATAACCTGGTTATGTTAAGGCAATAAACGTAATAAGTTTGAAGATCACTCCACAATTTTTGAAGAGCGTTTCGAGGTATCGCTTTACCGACTAGGAACTTTTGGACACATATACTGGGCTCGATTTTGTGTCACTGCTCTAATGCCAGACTCGTAGTGTTCATGCTGTTTCTGAAAGAGGAGAAAATTGGGATTAGTCAAATTTAAAGATCAGTAATTTCTTCCAATCGTTACATATGGTCCATTTAAGTTCACTACTTTTTCCATCTTTATTAGCATGTAAACAGATTACTGAAATCTCTGAAGAATAGAAATGGTCAAAACTCAAGAAACCAGATGCAAACTATCCTTAATGTTATGTTTTATTTTAGTGTGGATAACATTATTTCGACTTACTGTTTATTTCATAGGAGAATCTGTTTCACTGTCTGTTGATCATAGTAAATTAAGTAGCACCAAGGTTGCGTTTTAGAAATACCAGATAAAAACTAAGCACGTAAGAATCATAGAAAAACTAAGAACTCGCCATACGGTCTAAGTGACGTAGAAGACCAGTACGCTGTTGCGTTCCTCGTAATATATATTTTAATTGCTTTAGTGGCTTACTGTTCTTTAGCTCATCTTCAAAGGATATTTCAAGTTTAACAAATATCATAAATAAGTGTGATGTTCGTTGTATACTACCTTGTTGAGACAGTTTCCAGGCTTGTCATTCTTCCTCAACTTTGCCATCGATGACGTTCTAGGAACTGCATGGTAACTGCGTACATGTGTTTTCTGAAGGGAGACTTGCCCTTATCCTTTGTGAGAATGACATAGCCTTACTTTGCAACTTCTAAACCCAGATTAACTCTGCAAAACTCTAAGAGTATATCTATGGCTTGCTTTTCCACACTACACTTAAGATTATATAACGATGATGATTCTACTCCACGATTCAGATAACACTCCATCGCCTCAGTGGAACGTAAACACCTGTGAAAATAATTTCACAGAATGGTTTACCTCACATTGCAGGTAACCCAACACATGTCTGTTCAACAATTTTGATAGAAAAGCACTACATAATAATGAAAAGTAACAAACAACAGAGAAGCAAGAGAGCTTCAAGATGGGTAATATGTCAGTATGGATATAAGGGAAATAGCTTTTGATGGGTCGATCCTTGGTTGTCCATCAGAACTCACAAATGCTTCAGTATTCCCGACATCCAGAGATTGCGGTCACCAAAATTTCCCCTGGGCGATGTTAGTCTCTCAAATGATCCGGCTTTCCTTTTAAAGCGTCGACAGATGAGGCTTCAATCGTGCATTGAAGTCATGAATCCCACTCGATGACTCGAAGAGTTACGGCTGAAGCTTGTCTGTGGTATTATACACAATGTCTGCGAAATAAATGGCAATTTCGATCCACGTGTTAAAGTAGAGGCTTAGGTATTCAGCAGAGGCATGATTCTCTATTTAAGAATGAACTCTGATAGCATTAGGAATAAAATAATACTACTAGACTAGTCCACCCTTCACAAATGTATACCAAATTATCGTTAACTATCCAGACACTGTGGCTTACTTTATCGCACAACAAATAACGCCCAGACTCACCAAGCTAGTCACGAGATCGATGGCAGTTATTTATTTTAACACATAGATATTGGTACAAGGAGGAAACAAATACATGCGCCACACAAGTCTCATTTGATATGTGTGAGGGCTGTGATACTGCTCGGGTGCCCAAACCGAAGCAGGTGGTTTTCTTAGGGGGCCACTCCCCGAGCCTCCGACCTGACGGTTTGATCCACAAGGCAGTGGAGCATCGTAAGGAGATGCACTCCCATGGTAGCCGGTGACCAACGAGTGGTTCATACGCCATTTGTTCCAGCAGGATAGTGGAGCCCATGTGCACCATCAGGGTTTTCCAGCTTCCCCAGATGGATCAAAGACAGATCGTATCTAACTACCGGCCTGTCAGTCTAACTAGCATTGTCGTTAAGTTGCTTGAAAAGATCATTCGGGTTAGGTTGCTAAGCCACATAGATTCACACAATCTATTAGCTCCTGAGCGTTCATGCTTGACTAACTTACTTATTGCGAGAGACGATTGGACAGCAGCTTTAGATAAAGGCCTGTCTGTCGATGTGATATTCATAGATTTTAGCAAAGCATTTGACAAGGTTTCACACTCAAATCTTATGCAGAAGCTCACGAGCTTCGGAATAATAGGTACTGTACAGGAGTGGATAGGTAACTTCTTATGTGACCGCAGACAGAGAGTAAGGGTCAGTCGGACGCTATCCGACTGGAAGCCGGTCAAAAGTGGTGTACCCCAAGACAACATCTTAGGCCCCCTGCTCTTCTCTACGTTAATGAATTACCGCTGTTACTTAGGTCGTCGACATTATTAATTGCGGATGATGTGAAAATCTGAAGAACAATAAAAAGTGCGGCTGATCATCTGGACCTTCAAGCTGACTTAGACGATTTAGTTAGATGGGCTAGAGAGTGGGGCTTAGAAATCAATGCTAGGAAGAGTGTGCTAATGCAAATCGGTCACAGTAATAGTTACCGTTACACTATTGAGGGTAAACCTCTTCCATGCGTTCACGAGCATAAAGGCTTAGGAGTACTATTAAGTCATGATCTAAAAACAACTACGCATTGCAAAGCAGCCGCTGTCAAAGGTCTTCGTGCGTTATGGTCACTTCGCCGAGCGTTCAAATCTTTGGACGAGGAAATGTTCCGAGTTTCATATCCCATATATGTTAGACCACATTTAGAGTACTGTATCCAAGCAGCTAGCCCGTGTCTGGTAAAGGATGCTAACTCCCTTGAGCGTGTCCAGCGTGTAGGAACGAAATTAGTGAAGGGTATTTTAAGACTCCCTTACGATGAGCGTTTAAAACGCCTAAATCTTTTTCCCTTGTCGTATTGTAGGACACGAGGTGGCCTTATACTGGCATTTCGCATCTTTAATTATGATTTGGGTGTTAATGTCTTATCTTTTTGCTTCCTCCAGAACTAGCAATCTCCGAGGTCATAGCAGGAGGGTTCATAAACCACGATCTAATAAATTTAAAGTGGGGTCCCGTTTTTCTCATCGAGTAGTCAATAATTAAAACGCCCTACCCGAACAAGTGGTATCAGCCCCATCAGTGAATATTTCCGAGGAAAAACTGGACCTTCACTGTAAGGCAATCTGTCAGGATTACCACAGGTTCGCCAACCTA